CCTTCACTCCCCCAACTTTGGGAACTCCCCCAGCCACACACTTTATGAGAGACGGGATTCAGATACTGTCTCTACTAGTCGTATTAATGGCAATGCATTTTAAAAAAAAAAAAGACTTTTATTTTAAAATACAGTAAGTCCTCACTTAATGTCATTGATAGGTTCTTATAACCTGTTGTAAATGATGGAAAAACAAGTGAGGGGTAATGGAATGTTAGCGGTAGAAAAACAATAAGGAAGAAATGGTTGCAGAAAAATAAAAAGAGGGAATGGTTATTTCGGTCTTAAAGAATGGGGTAATTAGGGCCACGGAACACTGACCACCAGTCAGAGAATGGTTATGGAACTTTGCCCATCACACATATACTAGAAAAATGACTAGAACATAACATTTAAGTCATGTCCCTACCTGGAAAAGATTCAGTCCCCCAAATAGTGACATATAGTTATGAATAATTATAACTAACATTTACCTAAACATAAAGCATATGAAAAGAGCAACATAGAAGTAGCCAGAATCTTCTCCACTCGCAGAGACAGGCCCATTTCCCCTTAGGAAACGTAGTTTCCCTTTGCACCCTTAAACTTTACTCTCAATAAATTCTTCACACATACCTGCTCAGTGGCTGGCATCTCTCTGTGGTGTGAGGCAAGGCTTGGGATTCCTCCAAGCCAGGAGCCCAAGAACTGTGGCAACACTTCAAAGTCCAGCCATGGACTGAACCATGACACTGTGACTTCAATTGAAATGATATAAGGAAACTAATTTTACTATAGGCTAGTAGACATAAACAAGGCTTTATGTCTTATAAGTTATATCATAACTTACCAGTTCCTATGGTATATTTCTGGTCACAAAAATATCACCAAACTTCTAAAAAAAAGGCCCAAAACACTTCTTATATTAAACATTGAAATAGGCCAATTGCAGTGGCTCACACCGGTAATCTCAGCACTTTGGGAGGCCAAGGTAGAAGTATCCCTTGAGGCCAGGAGCTCAGGACTAGCTTGGGCAACACAGCAAGACTCCATCTCTACAAAATAATTTAAAAATTAGCCAAATGTGGTAGCAGCATCTGTAGTCCCAGCTACTTGGGAGGCTGAGGTGGGAGGATCACTTGAGCCCAGCAGTTCGAGGCTGCAGTGAGCTATGATCACACCAATGCACTGCAGCCTGGGCGACCTTGTCTCTTAAAAAAAAAAAAGATGATTTTGGGATTCATATCTTGCCATTGCAAATTTTCTGCTGTATCAAACCCCTTGAAAGGCCTGGCCTTTTCCTCCTCCAGGACTCTGTCCACTTGCTGGTGCTGCCTGGAAAGCACTCTTTCTCAGCCAGAGACTCAGCCTAGCTTCAGCTAAAACGGAATTTGCTGGAAAGACAGTGGACTGCACCGGAATCTCAAGAAGGCTGGGGAGCAGGGAAGGACCAGGGCATCCTGCACTCCTTGGCCAGGCCCTCAGGGCGCCCACGCCAGGGAATGAAGGCCTGCTGCTGGCTTTGCTTTGTTTTTCTGTCCTTCACCATCTCTGCAAAACATTTCCACATCACCCCAGCCAGAAATGGCTTCATCCCCCTCCAGCCCACCCACAGCCCTTCCCAACCAGAATATAGTTTCTTGGGGTCAAGGTCTCAGACTTTGTATAGTCTATAATATTTACTTTCCAAAGTAGGAAACCAAGAAGTATTGTGAATGACTAAATCCTGCCTCCAGAGGCAGTTAAATTTTTTTTTTTTTTTTTTTGAGACAGAGTCTCGCTTTGTTGCCTAGGCTAGAGTGAGTGCCCTGGCGTCAGCCTCGCTCACAGCAACCTCAAACTCCTGGGCTCAAGCAATCCTTCTGCCTCAGCCTCCCAAGTAGCTGGGACTACAGGCATGCGCCACCATGCCCGGCTATTTTTTTTATATATATTAGTTGGTCAATTAATTTCTTTCTATTTATAGTAGAGACGAGGTCTCGCTTTGCTCAGGCTGGTTTCGAACTCCTGACCTCGAGCAATCCGCCCGCCTCAGCCTCCCAGAGAGCTAGGATTACAGGCGTGAGCCACCGCGCCCGGCCTAAATTTTTTTATCAAATTATTTGACATTCATACATAACGAAACTGAAGACAAAACTTCCCTTTTTCATTTCATTCTTGACTCCTCTTCTTAATGGGAGTGTCAAAGCAGTCAGTGAGTGAATTAGGCTTTTGAAATCACTGACAATGCTTTTAAGGAGCCCATGAACTTGCAAAAAACAGCTACAGAAGGTTTTAATTAACAAGATGGGGGGGAAAAGTCACTTGACCTCTACATGCCCTTCTTTAAAAAGTGGGATAATGAGGCTGGGCACCTGCCTAGCTCAGTGAGGAACTGTGTTCATTAGTGAGGCAGGTGCTGGCAAGGTGCTGGGATCCCTTTAGATGAAAGGAGGAAAAAGCTCTCCAAATGCAAATTGTCATAGTGACAGTTCTAGCCAAAGATCCTATTATATCCTATTATATCTAGACTCCCCTGGTGACCAATTTAGCACACTGAATATAAGCAATTTTGAATTAATTGTTTTCTACAGCCTCTCAGTAGCCTGGGAAGTGCGGATTGCCAGTGGTTTTCACCTTTGCTAGGACACCATGAATATATTCTTCTGTCAGCGGGAGACAAGGAATAGCTGCCCTGCCACCTCTGCAATGCCACACTCTCTCTGCCTTTACTTTGCTGCTTGGCTCAGCTCAACAATTTTTCATCTGGAAGCAGAGGCTTCCAGTACTGCCGAGCGCAGTTTGGGGAGCATCCATCACCATCCTCAGATCTCTGAGGGGCAGTTAAATGGAAATAGCAGTTGACTCATTCTGTTTGGTTCTAGAAAGCAAAGCTGGGACAGGGGAGAACCAGGTGAGCATAGTTCCAGCTCAACATACAAGAAAACGTCTTTCACAGGCAGACCGTCACACACTGGGGTAGGCACCTTGTGGAGGCAGCGAGCCCTGTTGCCAGGCAGAACCTGAGTTGGTCGAGGTTCTTGCTTCGTAGACATCTGAATCTACTCCAGTTAACTGTAACAAAAACAAGTCTATAATGCTGGATTGGTGCAGCCCCTGCCGTTCAGAAAGGTGAGTTGGTCCACAGTGTTTATTATAGAATCGCTGACTTCTAGGGCTTGGAGAGATGTTAGAGAGTAGACAGGTTCAGCCTTTGCAGGCAGATGGACTGCAGTTGACCACGTAAGAACCAACATCACAGCTGGTTGGAGACAAAATCCATTTGTACAGACATCTGTCTCAGTGCTCTGTCTACCTGCCTCACTGTGTCCCTCTGAACTTCTGACAGAGTTCTAGGAAAGGGATCCCTGCCTTTGTTGAGAGACTAGGCCACATATACTCAGTGTCTAGGGATGCATGATGCTTCCCCAAGGGGAAGACATTACGAGATTTGGAAAGCTGCCTGTGAGTTAGGCTTACCTGGGTTCAAATCCTCATTGTACCCCATATTATCTGGGTGGCCTCGGGCAAGTCACTTACCCTCTGAGCTTTGGTTCCTCTTAAGCAACATGGGTAACATAATGCCTGTTTTAATAGGTTTTTGTAAAGAATGAAGAGTTGAAAGTGCCTGGCACATAGTAAGTGTTTAATAAATGTTAGTCCTATTGTTTCTGACTTGTTGGCATTCAGTCAACAAACAGTTATATTTCTGTGCAACACAAAAATTGCACAACAGCTTTGGTATTTCCTAGAAGAGTAAGAGAATGTAAGGATTCTCAGAATACTCCATGGAGTATTCTGGGCGTGGTGGCTCATGCCTGTAATCCTAGCACTTTGGGAGGCCGAGGCGGGCGGATTGCTCAAGGTCAGGAGTTTGAAACCAGCCAGAGCGAGACCCCGTCTCTACCAAAAATAGAAATAAATTAATTGACCAACTAAAAATATACATACAAAAAAAAATTAGCCGGGCATGGTGGCGCATGCCTGTAGTCCCAGCTACTCGGGAGGCTGAGGCAGTAGGATCGCTGAGCCCTGGAGATTGAGGTTGCTGTGAGCCAGGCTAATGCCACAGCACTCACTCTAGCCTGGGCAACAAAGTGAGACTCTGTCTCAAAAAAAAAAAAAAAAAAAAGAATACTCCATGGAAATGTAACCTTTGAGTTGCCACATAAACCTGCAAGCATCTTCAGGGCCATTCTTACATTGGCAGTTTTCCCAGTATAAGCTATATCTAAGGGGCAAGAGTTACTAGGACAGTCTATTCATTAAAAAGTCAACAGGAGGCCCATTAGGACCTGTTGCAGGAACACACATTGGCTTAAGATTGTTCCTAAGATATATGATTTGGGGCTGAACTGTAACAACCCATCAAGTTAGGATAGTTTGATGTTTCCCACAGGGAACATGAACTCTCCCAATCCTGTGTTCTGTCTTATTCTTTCCAAGGTGAGGCTCAGAAAAGAGTTCTGCCCCAGGAATCACCAGGGAACCTGCCCACTTCTCTTTCACCCTTTCTAGTGAGTTGCTTCCTGTCTCCAGGCTTCAATCATTTCAAAAAAGAGGTCAGAACACTGTTGCATCCAGGAGCCAGCTCCCGGCTTCCTCCTAGTTGTCAGATCTGGTTTGAAGGCCCCACGGTGGGCTTGGGAGATGGTTTGCAAAGGTCTCTACCTATGCAGAGCAGCTATTCATCCACATGGAGTCATAATCCCTAACGATCTCACACAGTACCCACGGCAGAGTCTCATCTTATACAGGAGTAGGTTCTGAAGTCAGTACTTAAAGTGAAAATCCCATTTAGTCAAAATGATCCTTGAAAATCCTCTAGGATACCTACATACCATATATATTGCGTGATAACTGATTATCTTTCAGTGAGATCAATACAGCCAGCTTTTCCTCCAGTCTGGGACAGACAGCAGCTTCTTCAGCTGAGTGCCAAATACAGAAATAGGATTGGGTTTGGGGCTGGGTTATATGAACAATAGAAAATGTTCAACACTACATACATCCCCAGTTCTGAGACAGACGCTCACATCATGAAGGATTGAAATTATTTAATTATTATTGCAATTATTTAATTATTTATCCACTGAAGGGATAGGGGCCACTCAGGCAAAACCAAGAACAGGTCACGATCAGGACCTGTCACAACAGGAGCTGACAGAAGGTGTAGGGCAGCGCTCTGAAAAGCCAAAGGCCAACAGGTTGGGGGATGGATGGTTCCAGAGACAGGGCTGGGGTGAAGCCGTGGTGCAGAAGGGTCCTCAGTAGCCCTGCCAAAGGCTTCCAACCCAGCCTCCCTTCTACTCATAAGTGCCTGGTCTGAAAGGGAAAATTGTCAGGAAGGCTCAGATAACAATGTCATCTATGTTGAGAAGATTGGGAAGACTACAGGGCAAACAAGGGTGCGGGGTGATGGAGGGGTGGGTTTGCCCAGCTGGAGAGGATGAAGGTGGCGTCTGGCATGGGAGATGAGTAGGGGTAGGGGTGGAACGGCAGGAGATGAGGAAGCTCAGGACCTGTGAGATGGTCTCAGGCTAGGCTAGGCTAAGTGATGCATAAGATCCAGAAATGTGAGGCGTTGGCAAGAATGGAAACAGGTGGCCCTGAGCCAGATATCAGAGGGCTCGAATATCAGGCTGGTGAGTTTGGACTTTGGCCTTTTGTGTATGGACTGGGGGTTTTCAACAGGAAGTCAAAGTTACATTCAAAGTTGGTACTTCTGGAAGTCCAGCAGGGCCATGGGGTACAGATGGAGTACCAGTCAGAAGGCCAAGGGTAATCCAAACCCAAATGGGGTGATGGCAAGGGCGGGGAAAGGGCAAACATAAGAGAAGGATATGGCATGCTCTGAGCTAAGGGACCCAAGAGCCAAACTTCAGTTCTCTCCTTGTAACACCATGTTGATCTCCAGAGTTCTCTTCGAATGTCAGAACCAAGTCATCACATTTCCAGAGACAAAGCTTCTTGTTTTAACAATACACAAAGGTATCCTGGGTCCTAAAACTAAGAGAACAAAAGCATGAGGTTACATGACATCTGGCCCAGGAATGAGATGCCTTTCCTGAGGCTGTGGGGCTCTCTGCTGCATGAATTTAAGGAGTCTCAGCTTTTGCTGCTGCTTAAATAATTTTCTACCATCACTGTAGCCAACACCCATAGGCACACCCTCAACCAAGAGAAACCGTTCCGATTTGTAAATGGAAGTGCTTACTTAACTGAAGTCACAATGCTGGACATGACCCAAATCAAGAGAGGAATCATTGACTCTGATGTTCTCCACCTGAGCTTCAGAGAAACAAGTCTCTCTTTGAGCTTGCCTGCAAGTGTTACTTGATTCGTTCATCTTTCCAACAAATACCTACGATGTGCCACATCTGGGTGCAGGGGACGTAGCAGTGAACAAAGCAACCAGGTTCCTGCCCTCGTGGAGCCTACATTCTAGTAGGAGATAGACAACAAATGAGTTAAATGTTCAACATGTCAGGTCATTATAAGTGCTACGGAGAGGAATAAAGCAGGATAATGTGCGTGCTGGGTACTCAGGGAGCACCTCACTAAACTGGGCAATTGAAGCAGAACCAGAGAAAGTGGAGGGACATCTGGGAATGTTCCAGGCAGAGGGACCAGCAAAGGCCTAAAGAAGAGATGGAGCTTGGAGTTCAAGGACCAGCAAGGAGTGAGACTAGTGCAGAGCCATCATGGGGGATGTAGGAGATGAGGTCAAAGAAGAGAGTTGGAGCATGGCAGGCCTTGGAGACCACAGTGAGGACTTTGGCTGTTACACCAAGTGAGCTGGAGCCAGCGCAGAGTTCTGAGCAGAGGAAGGCGTGAGCTGTTCCCCAGGGGGGGTGGGGGCTGAGGGGACTTGGACCATGATGACACACCTTGTCAGAGGGGAGAGTAAGGTTTGCGGGAGACAGGCCCCAGGCACCCAGGACGGCTAGATTTTAGCCTCACAGGCTGTAGACGAACAGACTCCAAAGCAAATGCTCATCCCAGGGCTGAGCCTTCTGGTCCAGCCCCAGCCTGAAGACCATTCTGAAAGAAAAGTTACTGGATGTTTTGAGCAGGGGCGGCCTCATTTGGAATAAATATCTAGGCTAGTAGAATGGCTGCTTTGAAAAGGCCATTGGGTGTCTTAAGTGTAAAAAAAATTGTTGTTATTACCACACTAGAGGGTACAGTGGGAGCTTCACTCCCTCACTGTCCCTCGGTGTTTCATTAACCGCTGGCGTGGCGGGGCGGCGCTTGTCTCTGTTCACACCAGCTCCAGAGACAGTGCGATGCTGCTGCCCCCGAGGCTATGGTGCCTGACAGCAGCCCAAGCTGCAACTCCTGAGCTCGCCTCTTATTTTCTGGGCACAAACCATTTGGCCTGGCCAGAGAAATAGCATGGAAGACACCCTGAGAGCTAAGATCAGAGGAGTGGCTGTAAGAGGATTCGGCTTGTCATCCAACACAGGGCTGTTGGCCTGTGTCCCCAGAAGGAATGTAGGACCAGGGCCCAGAATCTGGTTTCACATGCCTGCTCTGCCATTATCTCAGTGCATAATTCACCGTAGGAATCCCAGCAAGCCCTATGCTCATATATAAAGCCATTAAACTAGGTAACTTCTCATCTCCCCTTCTTGCTCTGACATCTTAAAAATGTTTATGAAATCCGTAAATTAAATGGAGCATGGCTTTCACATCATCCCAAGTTCCTTTTAGATTTCTGCACCCTTCTTCTCTCTCTCCCCAAATATGCCATCCGATACCCAGGCACTGTCCTCTGGCCATCTGGGAAACTACAATGCAAGGCCTCTTCTGGGCCTAACTTCCCTGTAAGTGCCCCATGTTTTAGACCTTTTTTCTTTTGCTCTCATCAAAACGGACTTTTCCTAGTTCCACAAACCAATGAGTGCTAATGAGGGATTATATTTTTCCACATCTCTGAATCTCAGTTTTCTTATCTGTAAAACAAGGCTAATAACAACATTTATCTTCAAGGTTAGTGTGAGGATTGCAAATAGTTTATGCAAACTATCTGGACAATGTCAGATAATAAATGGCAGACTGTTTTTAAATGGATTCAGTAATGTCCTTCATCCATGTGTGAAGTCTATGGGAATGATTCATTGAGTGCTAGATACATGTCTATACCAAAATAGACCTCTGCTGTAGGCAGAATAATTCCCCTACCTCTCCAAAAATGTCCACGTTCTAATCCCTGGAACCTGTAAAAATGTTACATTACATGGCAAGGGGGACTAGAGTTTAGAATGGAATTAAGCTTGCTAATGAGCCAACTTTGAGATGGGGAGGTTATCCTGGATTATCCGAGCGGATCCAATGTAGTAACAAGGTTCCTTATCAGTGAAAGAGGGAGGCAGGAGAATCAGAGATCCAGATGTGAAGACAGAGACAGAGGTCCAAGTCCTACCATTGCTGGCATAGAAGAGAGCTGCAAGCCAAAGAATGAGATGTTTTGAGCCATGCGTACAATGTGTAATGATCAAATCAGGGGATTTAGCATATTCATCACCTCAAACATTTATCATTTTGGGGGTTGGGGACATTCTAAATCTTCTCCTCTAGCTATTTTGAAATATACAATAAATTATGTTAACTATAGTCACCCTACTGTGATATCAAACACTAGAACTTATATCTTCTATTTAAGTGTATTTTTGTACTCCTTAGCCAACCTCTGTTATCTCCCCCACCCTTCCTAGCTTCTGGCAACCATCATTCTACTCTCCACCTCCATGAAATCCAATTTCCAGTTCCCCCATATGAATGATAACATGGGATATTTGTTTCTCTGTGCCTGGCTTATTTCACTTAACATATTTTCCTCCAGTTCCATCCATGTTGCTGTGAATGACAGAATTTCATTCTCTTTTATAGCTCAATAATATTCTATTGTATATGTATACCACATTTTGTTTATTCACTTGTTGATGGACACTTAGCTTGATTCCATATCTTGGCTGTTATGAATAATGCTGCAATAAACCTAGGAGTACAGATATTCTCTTCAATATACTAATTTCCTTTCTTTTGGATATATATCTAGCAGTGGGATTGCTGGATCACATAGTACATCTACTTTTAGTTTTTGAAGAAACTCCATATTGTTTCCATCATGGCTGTACTAATTTCCACTCCCACCAAGAATATACAAGGGTTGCCCTTTCTTCATATCCTCACCAGCATTTGTTATTTTTTGTCTTTTTGATAATAGGCATTTTAACTAGGGTAAAATGATATCTTTTTGTGGTTTTGATTTGCATTTCCCTGATGACTCAAGATGTTGAACATTTTTTCACATACCTGTTAACCATTTATGTGTTTTCTTTTGTAAAATGTCTATCTAGATCATTTGCCCATTTTTAAATCAGATTATTTTTTTGCTATTGAGTTGTTTGAGTTTCTTATATATTCTGATTATTAATTTTTTGTCTGATAGATAGTTTGTAAATATTTTCTCCTACTCTGTAGGTTGTTTTTTCATTCTGTTGATTGTTTCCTTTGCTGTGCAGAAGACTTTTAGCTTGATTTCATCTCATTTGTCTATTTTTGCTTTTGTTGCCTATACTTTTGAGATCTTACCCAAAAAAGTCTTTTCCCAGACCAATGTTCTGAAGCATTTCCCCAGTGTTTTCTTCTAGTAGTGAGATAGAGAAGGCCTCTTAGGCCTGTTGGACACCCCCACCCCAAGCATGGAAATAAACTTCCCCCCTGAATACATTCAGGCAAAGTTCTGGGCACCTAGAGAGCTTTGAAAAGTGAACAAGCAACCTGATGAGCAGGAAGATGGTAACAATAATGACCCTCTAAGCAACGTGAGGTGTTTTGGTTCCCTATGGAAACAAAAAAATAGCATCTTAACTTGTTTTTCAGAAACCCCCACCAGACAAAAAATGCAAATAAGAGGGAAATGAAGAATTGAACTCTGACCACCATTCTTTGTTCTAAATTTCTCCCTGAGAGGCCTGGTGAGAGTCATACCTTAACAGTCCTTCCCACTAATCCAAAAATCCCTGAGTCCCTGTGACGGTAGGCTCCCACTTCAGGATATCCTGCCTTTTAGGGCCAGGCCAATGTATAACCTCCATGTATTGATTTACAATTTTGCCTGTGACTTCTGCTTTCCTAAAGTGTACACCTGCCTTTCAAAACCTTTGCTTTTAACCTTCTGGGAGTTTGGGATTATGCTGATAGCTGCCCTTTTCCTGCATGGTACCATGTAATAAAAATGCCTCTTTCTCCCTCTGTAACTCTTAGCTCCAGTGTCTGGCTTTGCTGGCAAGCAGACACCATTTTGGTTCAGTAAACAGTAGTTTCGTAGTTTCAGGTCTTACATTTAAGTCTCTTGATTTTGATTTGATTTTTGTATAAGGTGAGAGATAGGGGTCTAGTTTCATTCTTCTGCATATGGATATCCAGTTTTCCCAGCACCATTTATTGAACAGACTGTCCCTTCCCCCAATGTATATTCTTGACATCTTTGTCAAAAATTAGTTGGCTATATATTTATGGATTTATTTCTGGCTTCTATATTCTGTTGCATTGGTCTAGTATCTGTTTTTATGCCAGTACCATACTATTTTGGTTACTATAGCTTAGTAGTATATTTTGAAGTCAGGTAACGTGATGCCTCCAGATTTGTTCTTTTCGCTCAGGACTGCTTTGTATATGCAGGGTCTTTTGTGGTTCCATATGAATTTTACGTTTGTTTTTTCTATTTTTGTGAAGAATATCTTTGATATTTTGAAAGGGAGAGATCTTTAAACTAAATTTGTTGTACTTTTATCTTTTGACACTATAAAGTAGAATGAGAGTTATGATGAGCTGAACAGAGAAGGTTGGCTTTATAGGCAAAAAAGAGCTGAAGAAAGGAGAAACAGTGAACAAAAAGTAGATTGGTTGTTTCAAAGTTACAGTCCTTGCAAAGGTTAAAGCAGAGGAGACTTCCTCAACATGCCTGCTATGACTGGCCTGTTTGGGGATTTGGCTATTTCTCTCCCTTAATTTCTTGGATGGTCAGGTAAACAATTGGGTCTAGGCTGGTGGCATGGAACTTCAGCATGAGTGACTCCATCCTGGTCTGGTCTGTTAGGCATAGTGCAGGAGCTCAGTCCACACCAATCGTCTTCTACAAATTTTATTTAACACTCTAAAAGGTGTTTGTTGGCTCATATGACTGAAAAAATTCCAAAGGAAATTATACGGAACACGCAAGGCTTGATTTGGAAGCTAAAGTATGACACCCAGGATTCAGAATTTCTCTATATCTTGTCTCTGTCTTCTGCAGTTTTGGCATATTCTCAGGTACCACACAGTGGGGCTCACAGCTCCAAACTCACCACTGTGAGGGTAAAATGGCTGCAACAGTTCCAGATGTGTCACAACTCACAGAGTAAAAAGGAGAGGCTCCCTTTCTCAGAAGCCCCAGCAAGTCTTGCTGTGATTTGCTGCTTCTAATTAGGTTCTATCCCTAATTTCTGATCCAAATAGTGGATCCATTAGTGAGTGGACCAGTGAATGGGAAGTGGGGAAGGGTTGAATTGCCCAAGAGAAATTCAGAGTAATTTGGGCAGGAGAAATAGGAAATGGATATCAAATGTCCACAAAGATCCTGACCACAAAGTTTCTGAGTTCAAATACCACTCCCTCTCAGTAACATCTTTTCTGACTCTTCAACACATCATCATTATCTGTTTACCTCTCAGTGCCTCATATACACACTCCAGACTAAGGGACAAGCCTGGAGCCATCCTAATCTCCTCTGTGTCCCTAGCCCTTAGCATGGGGCCCACCTGAGGTTGGCCATCAAAGAAACATTTGTTATTCAATGGGACTGCTCTTTCCTGGCAGGTGAGCCATTGACAAAGCTGTTCAAGCTCCACCTTTCCCTGACCCTGTAAGGGAGCTGCCCTGATGTCCATGGCTAAATGGCTAAATGTTTCTGAGAAAATATAAATACTTCACTTAGTACAAGCAGTGGCTCACATTTAAGCCAGTTTGAGTTGGATGTTATATTTAAGGTGGTTTGAATTGGATGTTTCTTTTTTTCTTTCTTTTTCATACCAGACAATAAAGACCTCAGAGGGATAGTTCTTTTACCTATAGCTAAAAACATCCTAAGTGATACAATGTCTTCTAGGGGTGTTTTGAGAATTTAAATGAGCTAATATATGTAACAAGGTTAATTAGGTTAACTTAACAAGGTTAATTAGGTGTTAGCTATTATTATTCTTATTATAACTTATAGTAACATTATCTATTTATAAGATTCTCAAGGGCAGGTCTCATCTTCCTCACTGTTCTAGAATGTAATAGATAATACTAAAATGGTGGTTGAACCAAACCAAAGTGTCCAGGCCACCACTTTAAAGGAGTCAAGTTTCGATTAATTGAATTTTGAAATTCAAGTCAGATTTTTAAATTCACTACTATAGCTTGCTATTTACAGAATTTCTATAGAAAATTATTTTTGAAAGATGAATCATTTTATAACTCGAATTATTTATGTCTAACTTGCCTGTAAATTCTTATATGCAAGATCAGTTGCATTCATTCATTCATTCATTCATCAGTTCACTCATCCATTCATTTATTCAATAAGACTTTCTGGAGTAACTGTCATAAGCCAGACCTGTCATATGCCATGTGCTAGGATATAGGGAAATAGAGTAAAAACTTAGTGTTTTTCAGGGAGTTCACCATTTAGTGAATGAACAGATCAAGAATCACAGCATTGTGAGCTGCATGCTGTGAGAGGGGAAGCATGGTGTGTTTGAGGGCAAGAAAGAGAGAGCCCAGGGTTTCGGTGGCAAAGAGTGAATAGGAACAGCAAAACCTTCATAAGGAGGAGCTTCTGCCGTTCCTGGGGGACAACTGAAGTTGGCTGGAGGTGGTATGAAGCTTCTTTCTGTGCGGGTGCAGGATCAGGTGAAAACGGGGTTGAGGTCAAGAGGTGACTCTGGAGAGGAGGTGAGGATGAGGCCCCAAGAGCCCTCCAATGCTGGGCTGGGAAGTTCTGGTTTTATTTTGAAGGGGGGGGGACTTCAAAGAATTCTGGCAAGCATGATCAGATTTGCCTTTCAGAAAGAATATCCTGGTGGGGTTGTACAGGGTGATTGCAGCGATGATGAGAGCATGGCGGAGGCGAGCCTGAAGCAGAGAGACAAGTTAGGAAATGACTCTTAGGTTGAAACATATAAAATCGCCATTTTTTTGGTCAAAAATGGTCAAATGTCATCAGTTTCATATGGTTCAACCTAACACAATGGTCCAGGTAAGAAATGACCAGAACCCAAACTAAGGCGGCAGTAGAGGAGATAAACCAAGAGATATTTAGGAATTATAATTTGATAGGGCATCATGGTTTCTTTGATGAGAGGGACAAAAGAGAGGGCAAATGCCGAAAGTGGAAATGTACAAACATAGACTATATAAAATCATTCTTGAACCTAGAAGATTTTCTTCAACTAATTAATTTTACAGCTAAGTCCTAACAGATTCATTCATTTGGGTATGGCCACACAGCAAATTTAGGCTTGAGCTGGAACTGAAACCCAGGTCTCCTTTCTGCTATGCTGCACAATTTTCACTTGGGTATTCCAAGAAGGAATCTGTATTAGCTTCCTAGGGCTGCTATCACAAACTACTTCAAACTGGGTAGCTTATACAACAGAAATTTATGGTCTCACAGTTCTGGAGGCTAGAAATCAGAAAATAAGGTCTTGGCAGAGTTAGTTTCTTCTGAGGGCTGTAGAAAGAATCAGTTCCAGGCCTCTCTTCTTGGCTTATAAACCCATCCCCTTGATCTCTGCCTCCATGGTCCCATAGTGTTCTCTCTGTGCGCGTGTCTATTCTTCACACAGCCACCTCTGTGTGTCTATGTTCCTGTCTTCTTGTAAGGACACCAGCCATTGAATTAGGACCAACCCACTCCAGTATGAACTTAACTAATTACATCTTCAGTCACTCTGGGGGAACACAATTCAGCCTGTAACAGTAGTTTTGACATTTATGTATTCATGTCGTTTTACTGATGGCAATTCTGTCTTTCCCCTAGAAAAGGGAATTAGGGGGTGAGGAATAAGGATCTTTTCTATTTATTTTATATCCTATCACAGTTCCAACAACAGTGTTCTACACTATAAGCCTGCATCAACATTCTTAACTATCTGCTGGCAATAGACAGGGATTTCAATAGTTTCTAAACGCTTTTAATGAATGGTCTACTAATATGGATGAAAAGAAAAACTCTTACCTACATTTCTCTTGACTAGATGGGCAGAACAGAGTTACCCGCTTTGGGTGTACAATGGTTCCCTTTGATTTCATATGTTCTGATCTTACCCCATGATCAGGCTCAGCAGTGGCTTCGAAGTGAGACACAGAATGGCAGGCATATTTGTTTATCATGGTTTTTATTTTATTTGAGACAGAGACTCACTCTGTTGTCTGGGCTAGTGTGCCATGGCATCAGCCTAGCTCACAGCAACCTCAAACTCCTGGGCTTAAGCAATCCTTCTGTCTCAGCCTCCCTAGTAGCTAGGACTACAGGCATGCACCACCATGCCCAGCTAATTTTTTCTCTATATATATTTTTAGTTGGCCAATTAATTTCTTTCTATTTATAGTAGAGACGGGGGTCTCGCTCCTGCTCAGGCTGGTTTTGAACTTCTGATTTCGAAGTTCCTGGTTTTGAACCTCGAGCAATCCACCCGCCTCGGCCTCCCAGAGTGCCAGGATTACAGGCGTGAGCCACTGTGCCCGGCCTGGTTTTGATTTTTTAAGATGTGACATTTATTCTGGAGCTATCAATAACCAAACAGGCTTTCTCTGTGCAGATCTAAAACATAAATTGGAAGAACATGAAAGCCCTCAGGGCTTAGCTACTGAGAGGTCATACTGAGAAGATTTAGAAAGTCCACCAGAGCCTCCACCCCCTGCAATAAAATAAGTGAGACCACATCTAACTACAGGGTTGTGGATGGGTGAAAACACGGACCCTAGAGTCTGGAGGACCTGGGTTCAAAATCCTGTACTGATTTTACATTAAGAGATGGCTCAGCTACCAAAAAAATAACTAAGTGAAATCAGGTGCCTCCTGATAGGATGTACTAAAAAGGACACAGCATCGCTTATGTAGCATTCCCACCAAAAATGCATAAACCAAATTTAATTATGAAGAAACAATCAGGCGAGTCCAAATTAAAGGACCTTCTGCAAAATAATGGACCGATACTCTTCAAAAATTTCAATACCACATGGCGGCGACTGCGGCAAAGCGAGAGCCTGGGAACGCGCCGCCAGCACAGCCTGAGCCGACAGCGGGGCCTGTCCGCGGCCCGCACTCCCTCGGTGAGTCGGAGAAGTCCCGTTGTGGCAGAGTAAGATGGACGGTAGCTTTGATTGTGGTGGTGGTGAGCTGGAGCCACCTGATCACTAACAAAAGACATCTTCTGTTAACCAACAGCCGCCAGGGCTTCCTGTTGAAATATATAGCAACAAAGGAAGAGAAGAAGCAAAACGGAAATAGTGCTTACCAGCACCTTAGAATGATGCTGCTCAGGACCAGTCTAAGCCTGAATGTATCTGCACTGTGAGGAGAATGTTCATAGAAGCCTGTTGTGTGCATATTTATTCACATTTTTGTTAAATGTTAAATCGTTTAGCACAGTAAATCTGAGTGCATAGTATGTCATTTCATTCCGTTTGAGTTTCTTGAGTGTTTTCTTTAAATGACTGCAGAGTTGCTGCCCCTTTCTTGAACTATGAGTACTGCAATCTTTTTAATTCTCAGTATGAGTATAGCTTTTTGAGCTTGAAGGGGAACTCAACGGGCCTGGTTGGCGTATGCAATGAGCATCAAGAAACCATCTTGCTGTGGAAACATAATTATTTTTCTTGTCCCTTTTTGAAAGATCTTTCCTTTTGATGCCAGTTTTCTTCCTTGTTTACACAAGTTCAACAATTGGAAAGGAAAAGGCAATAGTAAGGTTTTCAAAATGGCAGAGAAATTTGAAAGTCTCATGAACATTCATGGTTTTGATCTGGGCTCTAGATATATGGACTTAAAACCATTGGGTTGTGGAGGCAATGGCTTGGTTTTTTCTGCTGTAGACAATGACTGTGACAAAAGAGTAGCCATCAAGAAAATTGTCCTAACTGACCCGCAGAGTGTCAAACATGCTCTACGTGAAATCAAAATTATTAGAAGACTTGACCATGATAACATTGTGAAAGTGTTTGAAATTCTTGGTCCCAGTGGAAGCCAGTTAACAGACGATGTGGGCTCTCTTACGGAACTGAACAGTGTTTACATTGTTCAGGAGTACATGGAGACAGACTTGGTTAATGTGCTGGAGCAGGGCCCTTTACTGGAAGAGCATGCCAGGCTTTTCATGTATCAGCTGCTACGGGGGCTCAAGTATATTCACTCTGCAAACGTACTGCACAGAGATCTCAAACCAGCTAATCTTTTCATTAATACTGAAGACTTGGTGCTGAAGATAGGTGACTTTGGTCTTGCACGGATCATGGATCCTCATTATTCCCATAAGGGTCATCTTTCTGAAGGATTGGTTACTAAATGGTACAGATCTCCACGTCTTTTACTTTCTCCTAATAATTATACTAAAGCCATCGACATGTGGGCTGCAGGCTGCATCTTTGCTGAAATGCTGACTGGTAAAACTCTTTTTGCAGGTGCACATGAACTTGAACAGATGCAGCTGATTTTAGAATCTATACCTGTTGTACATGAGGAAGATCGTCAGGAACTTCTCAGTGTAATTCCGGTTTACATTAGAAATGACATGACTGAGCCACACAAACCTTTAACTCAGCTGCTTCCAGGAATTAGTCGAGAAGCACTGGATTTCCTGGAACAAATTTTGACATTTAGCCCCATGGATTGGTTGACAGCAGAAGAAGCACTCTCCCATCCTTACATGAGCATATATTCTTTTCCAATGGATGAACCAATTTCAAGTCATCCTTTTCATATTGAAGATGAAGTTGATGATATTTTACTTATGGATGAAACTCACAGTCATATTTATAACTGGGAAAGGTACCATGATTGTCAATTTTCAGAGCATGATTGGGCTATACATAACAACTTTGATACTGATGAAGTTCAGCGTGACCCAAGAGCTCTGTCTGACGTCACTGACGAAGAAGAAGTACAAGTTGATTCTCGAAAATACTTGGACGGAGATCGGGAAAAGTATCTGGAGGATCCTGCTTTTGATACCAATTACTCTACTGAGCCTTGCTGGCAGTACCCAGATCATCACGAAAACAAATATTGTGATCTGGAGTGTAGCCATACTTGTAACTACAAAACGAGGTCGTCATCATATTTAGATAACTTAGTTTGGAGAGAGAGTGAAGTTAACCATTACTATGAACCCAAGCTTATTATAGATCTTTCCAATTGGAAAGAACAAAGTAAAGAAAAATCTGATAAGAAAGGCAAGTCAAAATGTGAAAGGAATGGATTGGTTAAAGCCCAGATAGCTCTAGAGGAAGCATCACAGCAGCTGGCTGAAAAAGAAAGGGAAAAGAATCAGGGATTTGATTTTGATTCCTTTATCGCAGGAACTATTCAACTTAGTTCACAACACGAGCCTACTGATGTTGTTGATAAATTAAATGACTTGAATAGCTCAGTGTCCCAACTAGAATTGAAAAGTTTGATATCAAAGTCAGTAAGTCGAGAAAAAGAGGAAAAAGGTATGGCAAATCTGGCTCAATTAGAAGCCTTGTACCAGTCTTCTTGGGATAGCCAGTTTGTGAGTAGTGGGGAGGACTGTTTTCTCATAAGTCAGTTTTGTTGTGAGGTAAGGAAGGATGAACAAATTGCGAAGGAAAACACTTACACCAGTTACTTGGACAAGTTCTTTAGCAAGAAAGAAGATACTGAAATGCTAGAAACTGAGCCAGTAGAGGATGGGAAGCTTGGAGAGAGAGGAAATGAGGAAGGATTTTTAAACAAGAGTGGGGAGTTCCTCTTTAACAAGCAGCTTGAATCCTTAGGCATCCCACAGTTTCACAGTCCAGTTGGGTCATCAGTTAATTCCATACAGGCCACATTAACACCTTCTGCCATTAAATCTTCCCCTCAAATTCCTCATAAAACATACAGCAGCATTCTGAAACATCTGAACTAAAACACTCAGCAGACATTTCTTTGTGTTCTTTATGAAATGTGTTTTGTCTTTTTTTATTACTAGTGTTTAAAGTCATTTTTTTACTTGAATCAGATGTTCTCATTTAGTAAGAATTTTATTAGTTCTCGTTTTTAAAATCCAGACTTTTTTTTTCCTACATGTGAGAGAGTTTTCATTTTAACTGGCATGTCGTTTGCACACAAAAATAAAGAACAAAATAATGCAATGCAGGAGGAGACAAAAGAAATGCACTAAGACAAGTAGAAACATTCTCTCATAGAACAATGATCTGTTTTACAGGAAACTAATCTTGCCTTGAAATTTACACAGTGAGACTGTACATAATTGCATGAAAATATCTATTTTTTTCCTAAAACATTTTTCATTCATGAGTATTTTCAAGTTTTTCATACTGTACACATTTCTTAAAACACATGATACCAGCAACTGAAAATGAATGCCGAATTTGGTACACATGTGTTATCTACCTCAAGGTAACAAAAGTATGTGGCAAAACATATACCACCCATAGTGCTTCACAGTATGCACTTCTATTTAGCCAGCGTTTATTGTAGTAAACTATTCTTAAGACTCATTCACCATTTATAAATGTTCTGGTATGCATTCTTTATAGTGAAGTGTTAATACATCACATCTTATTTATTTTAGCAAATCAGTATATTTTCTGTATTTAAAAGTTAGTTTTTAAAATTTATTTGCAAATACACTTTTTCCATTTGGCACTATGGTTTGTTGCCTACCTAGCTGAATATATGTCAGCTTATCCTAAGGCTTAATTTACTTAATGTACTTAATTTACATACGTGTTCATTTTAAGTGCTCACTGTGTATAGGAATTTGTATTTTGGAGGTGCTTGATCTATCTACAAAGAAAAATTAGGAATTACTTTATTATAAAATGCTCCTAGAAGTCTTAATTGTGTTTATTTTTTAAAAAACTGTTAGACTTGTGTGCATGGAAGTAATTAAGGTACATCATTATTGTAGTTTAAAAGTTGCACATGATAAGACATTTTGTTTTTACTGTATGTTTTTACTGAATGATCTATTCCCCATCCCAAGGCAAGCATGAATAAAATTAGGTTAAATGTAAAAAAAAAAAAAAATTCAATACCATAAAGAAAAAGAAAGGCTAAGGAACTATTCTGGATTATAGGAGACTAAACAGATACAACATCTAAATGCAGTGCTTGATCCTGGTTTGGATTCTGGATTGGGAGAAAAGTTTCTAGAAAGGATAGTATTGGGACAATTAACAAAATTTGAATATGGATTATAAATTGTATCAATGTTTGAATATGGATTATTCACCAAATTTGATTATTCAAATTCATAAAATTTGAATATGAATTGTATTGATAAGATACAACTGATTGTATTGTATAAATATTAAGTTTACTCAATTTGATCACTGCACCATAGTTATGTAAGAGATTGTCTTTGTTGTTAGGAGATACATAATGAAGTATTCAGTGCTTAAAGGTCATAATCTCTGAAATTTACTCAGAAATAGCTCATGGAAAAAATTAGAATAAGTAATAATGAGGATCTTATTATGCAATATGTAGTACAGAGAGAAATATAAAGCAAACATGACAAAATATTAACAATAAATAAATAAGTCTAGGTAAAGTGTATAAGAAGCTTTATTGTAATTATCTTGCAATTCTTCCATATCCTTAAATTTTTTCCAAAATAAAAAGTTTAATTAAAAAAGAAGAGATGGGCCGGGCACGGTGGCTCACACCTGTAATCCTAGCACTCTGGGAGGCCGAGGCGGGCGGATTGCTCGAGGTCAGGAGTTCGAAACCAGCCTGAGCAAGAGCGAGACCCCCGTCTCTACTATAAATAGAAAGAAACTAATTGGCCAACTAATATATATAGAAAAAATTAGCCGGGCATGGTGGCACATGCCTGTAGTCCCAGCTACTTGGGAGGCTGAGGCAGCAGGATTGCTTGAGCCCAGGTGTTTGAGGTTGCTGTGAGCGAGGCTGATGCCACGGCACTCACTCTAGCCTAGGCAACAAAGCGAGACTCTGTCTCAAAAAAAAAAAAAAAAAAAAAAACGAAGAGAGGAACCAGCCTGGATATTGCCCAGGATACTGATGTAAAAAGGTACTCACTGGAAATGTAACTTGAAAAAAAATGAATTGTGGAAACATACAGTATGATTCCATTTGTATAACATTCAAAATGGAGAACAGATTAGTAGTTACCAGGGCATAGTGGAAGTGGATGAGTAAGTGGAAGCCTAGTAGGAAAGTAGATGTGGTTACACAACGGCAACATGAAGGGTCCTTGGAAATGTTCTGTATCTTGACTGTGGTGGTGGTCACATAAATCTATACGTGTGAACTAAATACACACACACACACAATAGTGGATGTATTAATAAAACTGCTGAAATCTGAATAAGATGGAATGATTCTATCAATGTCAATTTCCTCATTTTGATATTTTACTATGTTACATGGAGAAGTCTGGGTGAAGAGTATATTATTTAATACAACTGCATGTAAATCTACAATTATCACAAAATAAAAAGGTTTAAAACTGGAAGAATTTTATGGCATGTTAGTTAAATCTTAGTACAACTGTTTAAAAAAAGCAATGAGTCCAGCCACAAAGGGACACATCATGATTGATCTAAGTTAGTGCTTCTCAATGGAAGCACTGAGAAAATGGTTGTGACCATTGTGGGGGCACTTTCGGCATTTAATGAATATTAGATTGCCTGCATTCCATAGTACAGAATTGCACAACAAAGAATCAAACAAGATTATCCCCCTAAACATATCGTCAGATATTCAGGTAGGTAAACATATACACAAACATAACAACAACAAATTTGTTTGTAATTATCTGAGCCTAGAATTTAACCCCACTTAAATACAAAACAAAAAATTTGTGTATGGTTTTAATATACACTGGATTTTCCAGGAATACTATTATTATGTAAAAAGAAGAAGGGTTGTATTTTATCTTGTTTAGAACTTTTCTAAGAAGTTTAGTTTTGGAGATTTTGAGTCCGAGGTGCCTGTGGGATGTGGAGGTATCCAACAGGTACTAGGATATGCAACTCTGCGCTTTAGGAAATGGCCTGAGTTACAGGTAAACTGGGAAGGATCAACATATTAACTAATAACTGAAGCCAGAGGAGAGGGCGAGATGGGCCAGGGAAAATGCAGAGTGAGAGGAGGTGCAAGCCACAGCCCTGGGGTACACTTAAGGCCCAGTACATTTTAAGGCTGTGCAGAGGAAAGAATCAGCAGAGGAGACTGAGGTGGAGCAACCTTAGAATAAGTAAAAAAATAAAAATAAGAGTTTTAGGTCACAGCAGCCAATGGAAGAGTATTTTTCAACAAAGGAAAAGAACAAGTAGAGTAAGGATTGAGAAACGTGAGATTAGCAAGTGGAGTTACGGCTGACCTCGGTCGAACTCTGAGGGTGGAAGCCAGACTGGAGGAGGGATAAAGAGTGGGAGAAGGGCGAGCGCAAACCACTCTTTCTGGGAAGTTGGGTGCCAACAGGAGGAGCTGAAGCGGAAGGACGGAGAAGCTTAAGCATGATTAGCTGCTACTGGGAAGAAGTCATCAGAAAGGGACTGAAGCTGCGGAGTGTCAGGAAAAATTAATTCATTCAACAATTAGTTAAGTGCCTCCGACGTGCCCGAGTGTCTCCCCACCTTCTGTAGAGAACACATATGGGGCTACCCACATACGACAAGTTAATGCAAGGCTTTATCGCCCGGGGAAAGCAGATCTCCTTACGCTGTCTTTCCTAGGAGTTCCGATTCCGACTCCTACTCCGGAAGACACCCTGTAGGAACCCACACAGCGCTCGACCTGACAACCCCAATAGGGCACTTGAAGCCACAGCTAAGTAACGGACCGCTACGAGGCCAAGCTAGTGACGCCAACGTTACACCCTCCCCGGCGTTCTGCCCCTGCTCGCGAGAACACCGGTGACTGCGCCCGGAATCCTCTTAAGACTAGCTCCGCCCCTTCTGTCTTTGTTTTCAATGTCCGAAGATCTCGCGGGAGTTAGGCTCAAATCGCGCGAGCGTAGATACGGGTCCTGCTCCGCGGCTCTCGCGGTGTTTGCGCGCGACTGCTTCCTTCTTTCCTCTCTTGCCAGTCCGCCCGTCTTCCTTCCCCTCCTCCCCGCTAGGCCTCCCCTCCTTCCCCACGCTGGCCCCCTTCCCGCAGGGATAATATGGTCTCCGGCGATGGACGCCCCAAGTGCAGGTCAGTTTGGGGCCGCCGACTTGGGTCTGGCTGCTGGAAACGCGCGCTGTCTGGTCGCCGTGTTCCTTTCCTCTCTCTCCTAGAGTCGCCCGACAGGGGCCGGGGGCCCTCAGGGCTCCCCTCGGGGCCTGCCTGCTGGGCTGCATTCTCTGCGCGGAGGCTTAGGAAGCCGGGCCTCACCACCCCGCCTTCCACGACGACCCCAGCAGGGCCGTCCGCTTCGCTGCTGGCCTTGACTCGCGCCCATCTCACCCGGTTGCCGCTGCTTGCTGCCAGCGGCTTCCTGGCCCCCGTCAGTAACACTAGGGGCAGAGTGAGGCCCACCATCTTCCCCACACCGCCCCCATTTGTGAGAGATGCGGGGGGGGGGGCAGCGTGTCCTTGCTTGGGTTTCACGCAGCTAGTTGTTTATTCCACTATCTAGTCTCGAGCCCCTCCGTCTCTCTTAGCCTCTGTAAGCCATATGAGGGGCAGTCAAGGTTGTACTTTGATCAGCCGGTTCCCCCAACTATTGAAGCTCTGAGTCTCCTCCCAGCCCACCTCTCTTTGTAAAAAAAGAGAGAGAGGGATAGAAACACTTTCATTCTGAAAGTAGGCTGTGCTTATCTCTTCTCATTTTGGACGAAGACCCCAACAATTTTGAGGGTCCTGTCCACCCACTGCAATGAGTCTGCACAAAAGATCTGCCTCCCAGCCACTTCCCCCCAGAACGTTAGGAGCTGGGGCACATTCATATGAGACCCCTGAGTCTTTGACTTTGTAGTTCAGCTTCAATTCATGCAAAACCAGAAGGACGAGTCTCTTTTAAGGGAGAATATAATAATTTACGTAGATATTTTGTTCACTTTTATCTTCAGTCTTAAGATCTATTAAGGTCTTACTTGAGAAGTTTGGGGGTTGGTTTGGTTTTGATTTTGTCTATGTTGTTGAATGCTCTGTAAAAATCCGACCTTTATTGTTGTTTTTTAATCAGTCCCTCTAACTTAACTGGAGTTCTCAAATTGTTCTGTCTGTACTTACCCAATTTTCAGAGCTGTGTCTTTCAAAAACATCTCTCTACTTTATTTAAATCATTCTTACTGTTCCTTTCCAGGTATTAACACATTTCGGGAGTAAATTATCTTACTAATTTTTACTTGACAAATTAGAGCTAGCCTATTCAATATGAATACTAGCTGTGTATGACTTTAAATTAATTAAATAAAATCAAAAATTTATTTGTTCAATTACTGTAGTAGCCACGTTTCAAGTACTCAGTAACCACATGTGGCTAATGTATACCTTACTGGACAGCACAAACACGGAACATTTCTGCCATTATAGAAATTTCTATTGGGCAAAGCTAGTTTCCAGGTGTTTTCACTTTGGATAAGGGACTTTGTAGCTGTGTTTAATGACAGTATAATTTTTTTTCAGGATATGCCTTTGAGTACCTTATTGAAACATTAAATGGCAGTTCACATAAGAAGTTCTTCAATGTATCTAAACTTGGAGGCACCAAGTATGGTAATGTTGTTTTACATTTTATTGGGTTTGTTGGGTTTCTAATAATTAAAATGCATTTGTCAAACTGAGCTGAAGAAATTTAAATTTATTTAGATTTGTTTTCATGTAGGTGTAACAGGTACACGTACACAAATCTCTACCATTTTAAAAATGCTTGGGACAACTTTTGTTTGAGGAAGATGTAAGCCTGTACTTTACCTTCTCATTTAAAAATCTAAATTAGGGGCCGGGCGCTGTGGCTCACGCCTGTAATCCTAGCTCTTGGGAGGCCGAGGCGGGCGGATTGCTCAAGGTCAGGAGTTCAAAACCAGCCTGAGCAAGAGCGAGACCCCGTCTCTACTACAAATAGAAAGAAATTAATTGGCCAACTGATATATATATAAAAAAATTAGCCGGGCATGGTGGCGCATGCCTGTAGTCCCAGCTACCCGGGAGGCTGAGGCAGAAGGATCACTCGAGCCCAGGAGTTTGAGGTTGCTGTGAGCTAGGCTGACGCCACGGCACTCACTCTAGCCTGGGCAACAAAGTGAGACTCTGTCTCAAAAAAAAAAAAAAAAATCTAAATTAGGCAATGATTTTTTTCCCCAAAGAAACTACTAATGCAATTTTTAGAAAAATCTGACTGATGACATTCTACACCAATTAAATGTATGTTTTATTTTTTCGAGTAAACAGTACCCACATTTATTCTTTATGCCATCCTTTGAATAGGAATCATCAACAGGCCCACTGATCTGAGTTGTTCTCTGGTACTGAGCATAGTTTGCCCTAAACTGCACAGCAACATTTTTGTTTTTAAATCACCTTTACTCGTTCAAAGCACACCAACACTTGGCATACATTTGCACCTGCCTGACCAGGATCAAACCTTTCACTGTGGTATCAGAAGAGTGAACTTGGCTAATGATATTGGATGGAAGTCTTGACTTTACTGACAGTTGAGTAACGTTCTCAACCAGCCCAATGAAGGAAAGACCTGTTTGGAAGACAGATTATTCTTTGTGAATTTTTCAGTGAAAATGATATGAAAGATAAATCAAATGCCAGATCTACTGCAGTCATAAAGAGGATTGTTCTTATAATTTTTCTGTAGATTTTGATGAATTTAAGTGTTCTAGACTGCCATGTGCCTTGAGATTTAGATATTTTGGAATATCTTAGAAAATCCCCATCTTAGAATTAGGTTGCCATATGAAAATAAACACTTTGCCCAAATAAGAGCATTATACTTTATGTTGCATGTTTAGTTGCAGTGATTTGTCTTGAGATGTTTGTTAAGAGCATTTGGTCATGTTCTTTTTTTTTTTTTTTTTTTTTTGAGACAGAGTCTCACTTTGTTGTCCAGGCTAGAGTGAGTGCCGTGGCGTCAGCCTAGCTCACAGCAACCTCAAACTCCTGGGCTCGAGTGATCCTTCTGCCTCAGCCTCCCGAGTAACTGACTACAGGCATGTGCCACTATGCCCGGCTAATTTTTTATATATATATATCAGTTGGCCAATTAATTTCTTTCTGTTTATAGTAGAGACGGGGTCTCGCTCTTGCTCAGGCTGGTTTTGAACTCCTGACCTTGAGCAATCCGCCCGCCTCGGCCTCCCAAGAGCTAGGATTACAGGCGTGAGCCACCGCGCCCGGCCTTGGTCATGTTCTTTATGATGTATGTCTTAAACATTTATCCTTCACTAGTGATGAGTTTGCATTAAATTTTGAAAAGGAAACAGCTAAGTTGATTTTGTTCAAGAAAGGTCTTTTCCCTTTTACTTCTCAAAATATCTAGGGATTCTGGCCTGGAAGTTTTTTAACCTAAATTGTATAGCATAATAGACTAAAGAGCATATATAATAATATTTTAAAAATTGAATATAAATACTGTCTGTGAATAGTTTGTAGAATTGTACTTACTTGAAGAAGACCTTTATTTCCCAGATTTAGGGAATCAGTAGGCGGCTATAAAATGCCCTGAAAGGGAACAATTAATAATCTAAAAATTGGCTGGGCGTGGTGGCTCACGCCTTTAATCCTAGCACTCTGGGAGGCCAAGGTGGGCAGATTGTTTGAGCTCGGGAGTTTGAGACCAGCCTGAGCAAGAGCAAGACCCTGTCTCTACCAAAAATAGAAAAAATTAGCCAGCCATGGTGGCGTATGCCTGTCGTACAAGCTCCTCCGGAGGCTGAGGCAGAAGGATCGCTTGAGCCCAGGAGTTTGAGGTTGCTGTGAGCTAGGCTGACATGACAGCATTCTAACCAGGGCAACAGAGTGAGACTCTGTCTCAAAAAAAATAAAAAATAATACAAAAATTAAATTATCTGTAATGGAAAATAAGCTTTCATGGGCATCTGTACTTGTAACTGTACAAAGTATATCAGTACATAAACATGATATCAGAGTTTTTATAACCATGATAAATGCAGTAACAGAATACCTATAAATACAGTTGCCTTCAAAACAGAACTTTGGTTTTTATTTCTGTAGGGTCAATACCTGAGTTTTTTGGGAGTGGTTATTATGAAAGGTTTATTAATAATTAAGTAATTTCTTAGTAATTAAGAGGGAATAAAATTTGAAAGAAGAGTTGACTTTGAAAGAAAGGAGCAACTTGGTTAGGGAGTATTTTGTTTGTTTAGCATCAGAACAAAAAATCCTTATTGCATTTTTTGAGGCACCAGATTGAGATGCCTCTCAGATAAATGCTTACAAGGAGACCTTGCTTTGGGTAGTCACCAAGGTTCAGGGCCACTGTCTTTTCTGCCCCCATTTCACATTCTGATGCCTGCCAGGTTGAGAATCACTGCTGTCATGAGTAACTATTAATGAAAGGAATGTGTTCTATCCCTCATACATGTTGGAGAGGAAAGATAGTTGAGAAACACTGTTCTAAGCTCCGTGCTAACCATATCAGGAATGTCCATAGCCACAAAGAACTGAAAACCTGCTGTCTAGTGACTTTAAGGAATAGGGGCTTATTTTTCTCACAAAACAAAAAATCTGGGAATGGGGCTGGGCGCAGTGGCTTATGCCTGTAATCCTAGCACTCTGGGAGGCCAAGGCAGGCTGATCGATCACTCAAGGTCAGGAGTTCGAAACCAGCCTGAGCAAGAGCTGACCCCGTCTCTACTATAAATAGAAATTAATTTACCAACTAGAAATATATATATAAATATTATATGATATATAAAAATAAAATATATATAAAATATAATTTATATGATTAATTTAT